TGGGCTCGTGCCGGCCCCGGCCGCGCGGCCCCCGCGCTCTCCGCACCCCGCGCTCGAGGTTTCCGCCCCAGCGGGGAGAGGAGCGCGGCGCGCACACACAACGCCTCTTAAAGGCTCCGCGAGAGGCTTTGGATGGAATCGAGGACTTCGCCTCTCGCAACTTGGCGATGCCACGGAATCCGCCGCTCGCGCACCACCCGGGACTCCCGGCGCATCTTTGTACCCACAATGCCAGAGAGAGAGAAAAGTTGCCCGATTTCTTTGCAGAAGGGTAGTGGGTGGGGGTGGGAAGGTGCCGCGAACGGAGCTTGCAGGCATTTTACCAACGAAAGATTTGGTCAAATCCGGGTGATGGTAGACCCTTCTCTTAATCAACTCTGATCACTTGCTTGGTTTGGTGGCTCGTTTTTTTCTTTTTTTAGAGGAAAAAGCTGTTCAGTATCTGTCTTTTACTTGTAGAGTTAACATTTCATAGGTATGTGGCCTGACATTTTAATTGCTCAAATAAAACATCTCGGATGCTGAGAATCAGAACTAGACTTCATCTCATTGTCATGACACAATTAAAAACAGGTTTCCTCAACTTTATCCTCTCTCGTCAGTTTTTGCTGACTTGCAAGCCAACGTCCTGCGGCACACACAGTCGTGGTGAGAGGGGAAAAGACCGTTCTGCTCGCTGATGGACAAGCGGAGGCAGCCTCCCAGCCTCCCTGTGCATACTCTGTACACACGTAAGTGCACATATATCAGATGCACATTTGTCAATGTACACAAAGACTTCAGTGACTATGCTTCTAGGTCATAGAACAGTTGAGTACTAACTTCATTGTTCAAGTTCCTTTTAAGCCTTCATACAATCATTAAAATACACCCAGAGATTCTGCCCCAAATTGGGAATAATAGCAAGTACAACTCACAAGAACCACACACAAGCCATATTCGACCTCAAGAGATCCACTGCAACAAGAACAACTTCTGGCCTCTGCCATTTTGCTCAATGTGCTAAAATCATCTACACAGTTGTGTCTCTGAATTCCAGGGTTTTTGGGTTTAAACATCAAACATCTAGAATTGCCCCCCAGAACACACTTTATTTCAACACAGTAGCCTTTTTGTTTGCTTATGACAAGTTAGTGGATTATGATTATTCCACATGTATAGAAGAAAACTGTGTCCATTGTACACACTTTGCACCAAGAAAAAACTGTAAACTGGTAAGCCGACCAGGTTTATGAGCAATTAAAATATTTTACACAAAACACGCTGAGCTTCAGGAAACATGAACACATATAAATAGTAAATTAACAACCACAAGAAAGCATCCTTGATAGTTCAAAAAATCAAGGAGATGAAGGATTTAAAAAGTAAATAAACCATACATATAATTGATATGTGGAGATTGCATTTTGCGCTTCACACCTTTTACACACAGGCAGAATACAAGGTAGGAACTAAAGGAAGATGTAGGCAGATAGGGGCTAGTTTTTAGGGAAGGAAAAATCCTTTTTACGCTTCATTCCTGACACGTTCTTAGCCCTCACCCTTTCTCCGCTGAAATCACATATTTCACTAAAGCTGCAGGTGCTGGGATTATATGAAAGTTGTAAAAAAAAAAACCAAAACCCTGTAGTGGACACTGAACTACCATAAATGTGGTGTGTAATGAGTTTGCCACAGAGCCAAGCTAGGCTGAGAATTTCAGGTTGATTAGAGACACAACATAACTTTCTCCTAAAGAGGACAAGAAGGATGGAAAAGAAATCATTTTCAGAGAAGGCTTTTTTCCCCCCGCCCTCTCAACCTCTATGATTCGAAGAATTACCTAATGCTGCGAATGTCAGTAGATTGTCTGCAAACTCAACGGAGGTGTGGTGGGGCTGGGGTTGAGACTGGAAATCTAATGGGCATTCCCATCTCAATTTAATAGAAGATGAGAACAATTGATTATAGGGAAATCTTAGTCTTGCCTCTTGAGTGCACTTCCGTAGCAAGATCAGCTTTTACAAACATGCAGTGGGAAAATTTGAGGAGGAAGAGCTTCCCCAATCCACTTAGAGATTTTTGGTATTCGAAATACGCTCTGATGGCCTCAGATTTAACATGAAGAATTTCCCAGCCATCTCCAACAGAACTGCAGCCTGCTAGGCACACGACCACAGGGCTGCCATGGAGTCAGAGATGTTTTACTCTATATTTTAGGATTCATTTGGTTATGGGGATGCTATTAAAAAGCAAAAAACAAAAACAATAAACAAAGCTAACAATTGTAGTTAATTTTACTGCATAGAAGAAGAGAAGGAACTGCAGACTGAGAAGAAAAAAGAGGGGAAAATATTTTAAAATGTCTTCTTCAGAGATGCTCATTTCCCTTGAATAAAACAGCTCTACGACTAAAAGATAAATATCAATATGTTGTTACTGTTTAAAAAAAAAATCCAGCCCAGTCTTTTATTGCAGATGTAAATTTATTTTAATGAGGGGAATGGCAAGCTTTAATTTGGCTGGAGAAAGTTGGAAAAACATTTGTCTTACTCTGGGGGGGGGGGGACCCACCCAGGAATATGATTTTCTTTCAGAAAGTGGCTTGACGGCTGTAATTCTTCACAAATTAAATCACAATATGAATACAGACCCCAGCAAATGCTGAATTTAACTCTGAACTCAGTAGAAACCAGTTCTGTCCACCAGGATTCATTGAATTCCTCTTTTCCCTCAATCTAGTCCGTGTGTGTTTTTCTCTTCCACCACACTGGAGCTCCATGAATAGGGAAAGGGGCTTCCATTGTGTCCCTCTGAACTTCCAAGTCAATGCAATTTTTAACCACTGGCTTGTGGTACTTTGAAAATCACCAGGGGCTGTCAGAGTTGGGTCCTCTGAAAAATTTACAGTGCTAAATCAGAGCATATGCTGGGAGGGAAAAAATTGCTTAAGATTGGAGCAAGTACAGTATCTGTCTGCCCCCTAGTGTAAGAGTCCTCGCTGCCTAAAATTCAACTTTAAAAGAAAAGGAGCTCTTAAAGGGAAACGACTTTGGGCTCACGTAGACATAGGAGAATGAAACTTCTGTACATTTTAATCTGAATAATTCTTCAGGATTTAAAATTAATTGGCTCTGGCTTGGTTAGACCGGACTCGGATCTCGCCACTTCTGCATTTCCCGAGTCACTGGCGGAGAGGTGATGATTTTTTTTTTTTTTTCCCTGAACTGGGTTTATGTGCGTCCCCCTCACCCCCTCCTCTCTTTTTCTTTCTCTGTCTCTGTCGTCTCTCTCGCTGGCTTTTTAAAAATGAGGAACCGTTCCTTGAACGTTCTGGACAGAGCACAGAATTGCTTCTTAAGTCAGCCCGACGCGGTTGCAATAGACAGCAAAAAGGTAAACGTTTGCCTGAAATCCGCACGCCAGCTCCACCACCCCGCCCGATGGTGAGTACCCTTCTCGTTGCGATTCTCCTCCTAGCTTAGCCGAGCGCTCGCCTCCCCGAGCCGCGGCCGAGGGCGCCGCGCAGAGCTTTTCTCCCTCCCTGCCTGGCTGGCTGTCAGTTGCACAAGGTTGCAAAATGCAGCGCGGAGGCAAAACGAACAGTAAATTCTGATACTTAGTGCGAGCCTAGCAGCTCCTTTGCTAGAAAACCGAGTCGTCTATTGCTTGGAAAAACACGCTTATAGGACTGGTTTTTAGTTTGCTCTATCGAAGGAAATGACTTTGAGGAGACAGGACGAGAAGACGGGAGGCACCGCAGTCTTTACGCTTCGGTTTAATCATATTTTGGCAGCTTTGCAATTGTATTTTCCCCCTCTCCCTCCTCCACCGCCTCTCCTACCACACACATGTAATAAAATATGGCAATGCATTGAATTGACTGTCCCCCCTTCCCCAAACCCCTTAAACCACAGTCCTAGGCATTTCATACACGTTAGCAATCCGATTTTTTGAAAAATCCCAAGTCATCCCCATCCCCACACAGCACAAGGAGAAAAGTGAGAAAGGAGAGAGAGAGAAAAAAAATACTGTAAGTAAACATACCAAAACCATATTTGCCTTGTTCAAGGTCCCAAACCGCTTGCATCTTCCTTCTAAACTGGAATAACTCTCCTTTAGTTTGGCGGGTGAAATAAACGCTTTGTTGGCCCCCTGAAAAGATGTGTCTTTGATAATTAAAGAGAATCTCCTCCTCGATGTTTATCTAAGCGATTGTGCAAACTGATAAAAAGTAGGCACTAGCCTGCAGGGAAAAAGAGGAAAGGTGAAGGGAGAGATCTTCCACCTCAAGGAAGTGCTTCCCCATGTATTAGGCGCTCTCAGCCTTGGAAAACCCTGCACACTAACTTTAGAGAGACGAGGTTTCAGGGAGCTTTGTACATAGCTGCTGAGGAATGCAAGCCTCGCCTTTAAGAAAAAAACCCCCAAACCGTAGGTAGGAGATGTCTGGAGTGATCCTTGTCTCTCATCTCATTCCTTAGAAGGAAGAGTGCGTTGTTACACCTTGTTTGGGGCTGGAAAGACGAGACTTTAAAAACACCCGTCCAATTGAAAAAAATCTCCCAACTTAATGAGTTTAGTCGGAGGCTGGAGCAAACGGCTCAGCCTCAGCAGAAAACCGCCAACAACTGTAGGCGATGTTGCAAAGCAAGACGACCCGAGGCACAGCCAAATTCCACTGTTTGGGGTCGAGAGGGATGCAGGCTAATCCTAAAGCTAGTTGGGAAAAAACAGAGGTGGAAGAGGAGGGGGAAAAAGCAGGAGCCTCCCAGACTGGCAGACACCCTGGATCACAGATAGAACTTGAAACAGGAGGGCAACATTTTTCCTAGGGATCCGTTGGAATCCTCATTTTCTACTTTCCACTCAAGTCCCCTAAAGTGATTTTTCCCTCTCCCCTGCAGATTCGTGCACCCCCTTTTCCGGTCCCTATTCTAGAACTTTCCTGAAGAAGAAACCTATTTCTTTTGGGGGGAGGAGTTCCCCATTTCATGTCTCCAGATAATGAGTGCTTAATTCATTCCCTCCCTTCCTCCACTCCCCAAAATGAATAAAGGAAGCAGGAATACACAGTAACTATCGAAAATTGAAAATAAACTATGCTGCCTCTTGCAGTTTAATACAGTTTTAACTAATGGATTTTTTTGTTTTGTTTTGTTTGAAGAGAAGAATAATGGGGAAACACGGATCTTTTATTTTAGGAAAATGTTATGGTAAGATGTATGTCAGACTTGACAAATGGAACTAACGCTCCTCGTGCTTCTTGTCCTCGTCTTAAACAGGAATTAAGTTAAACACAGTGCTGAATGTTAATTACATGTTTACTGGCTAATGAAAATTACAAATGGTTTTGCCACCTCAAACAATGATGAAAACTCTGAAGACACTGTAATTATATACTTTGAGGGAAATAACTCAGAATATTGATCATAAGAAGTGTAAATCTTTTTTTAACTATTCATTAATACCATAAATATGGGCTACAGAAGTTTTTCCTTGCGGTTTGTCTCATCAGTCACACCGAGTGGATGGATGGTGACGCTCCTCTGGGGAGGTGGTGAACTCATTCTCTCATAGAAGGAGGCCACTTGTGTAACTCGGGGGTGCCCCCCTCCCGTTCGCCCCCGCCCCCTTTAACCCCAGCAGAAGATCGAGGGTTAGTTGAACAGGGGGGCTGGGCTCAGGGCAGGTGAAGGTGATCACAGCCCAGCCTCTCCCCTCCCCTCCTCTCCCCTGCTCTCCTCTCTCCTCCTCTCCCTCCTCCCTTTCCTGCCAGGTCTGATCGATGACCACCTTCCCCGGCCTGGGCGCCTGTCGGATAACCTGGCATTCTGGTTCCTAATGGAGGACAACTTACTGCCACCCAGAGACGCAGCCCTGACAACTTAAGTTCCCTCTTTCAGAGGCGGCTAGGGCAGTTCATTGCAAAAGAAGAAAAAAAAAGTTGAGGGTGGAGGTGGTTATTGGATAAGGTGGCTCGGGCGCGGCGGAACCAGAACTGGTTTCCCTGGGTTTGGGAGTAGAGAAATATTTTTTTGTTTTGTTTTAACTTTGGCCTGCGTTGTAGCTCTGCACTCTGTAGTGTGGCAGTCACTCCGATCTTGGGGGTCAAAGGTGAGGGCTGCACTAACCCTAAAAGGCTGGTCTGGCCTGGCCAGCAGGCCGAGCAGGCGGAGGAGTGGGGGTTGTCAGCCATACTGCCTAGCGCTTCCGAGGGGGTGCCTGGGCAACGCGCACGCGGGGGACACAGCACCGAGAGCGGGTTTTAGGGGCAATATTGAGGATTTTTAAAAACTGCCCTAGGCTTGTGGGACTGGAGTCCTCTTTTTCCCTGAGAATTCCCAAGGCACTGGTCTTTGTCCTAGAAGGAATGGAGTTTCTGAATGGTGTGAAAGGGACAGAGAGGGTCGCTTCAAATCGATTTTACTTGTCCTTTCTGTCTTTTCGGATCAACGCCCTTCAATGGGCACAGAGGTGCTCTTTCAACCAAAAACTTGTGCTACATTTTCTGCCTGTATTGGTGCTAAATACAATAAGCACTGGGCAGATTTTTTTTCCTTTGCTCTCCAAAGCAAGAAAGCACCCTAATTAAATTGTTTTATATGGACAGTCAAGACGGACCAATTAAGTATGCATTAGTATAAAGATATAGTCTGCAGATAAGGCGGTTTAGAAAATCATGTGTGGGACAAAAGCGAGGGGGCTAGCGTTGGGGAGGGGTGCTTGGACCCCGCAAGGTCGCTCACCTTCCTCCCTGGGCCCCGGGGGAATTGCAGAGGCCCAGGCCCCAGGTGAGAAGGGAGCAGGCCCGCTAACAGGTGGGCGACAGCGTTGGAGTCTTTGGCCCGCGCCCCCGGCCGCCGAAGAGCAGTGGAGCGCGGGGGTTAGCATCCCTCACATCCTCCTACTCGGACAATGCAGCCGTCCGAGGTGGTGGGTCCCGTAGAGGGGGTGAGAGCGTGCTGTGTCCCCACTCCTGGTCGGGCCCATTGCCTGGTGTCTAGGTCCGGGGCGCGGGCCTGAAATAAAGAAAGAGTGTGCGCACGGGGGAGGCCGGGAGGGCCGGGGGACACGGACACTGCCACTGCCGCGGCCGCAGCCCTCTGGCAGCCAAGATCAGGGTTGGAGGGCCCTTTCTAACACCTCCAAGAGAAGCGCTTTTTCTCTTCTGAGGAAACGAGAGCTTCTCCGCGAGGAAAGTAAAATTCCCACCCGACGCCATCCGGCCCCAGTGGCGTTGAGGACCAGCCGTAGAAGTGGGGAAATGACTGACAGTCAGAGAAAAGGTAACGAGGAGAGTGGCTCCTTGTTCGGCGAATGCGGCTCTCGGCTTCTCCACCCACTCTCCGTCCTCTGAGGTGTGGGCAGGCGGAATGCATCTCGCCCAGAAGGCGACGACCCCCAGAGCAGGGGCCTGGGCCTCCCCGCGTCGCGGCGCAGGACTGTGATAGGTGGTCCCCGGGCCGCGCGGGCGCGAGCGCAGCGCACTGCCGCTGGAAGGGCGTGAGGGGCGCACGGGGCGCCCTTGGTCGGGGGCGGGAGGGAGATAGGGGCGAGAATTAGAGCCTGGGGAGGTGGCTGAATGTCAGAAGTAAAAAGGTTGAAAAGCCAATTTTCCAGGCGCGGTTTCGCCCCCCCTTTGCTGGTTGCAGAGGCCGTAAATCAGCGGCCGGCGGCGAGGGCGGGAGGAGCCCCCTCAGCGGGCTCGGTGCGGCCCCGCCCGGACCGTGCGCACCTCCCGGTGGGCCACGAATCGATCTGAAGCCTAGCTGAGGATGTCACCGCACTAAATATTTACTGATCACACACAAATAGCCGGGACTCGAACGATTTTCCTCTGTGAGGAGAGCGCAGAGAGAAGGGTAAATCATTTTATTAGTGTGGATAAAGCCCAGAGCACACTCTGGGCTGGAGTGTTTTAAGATGTGTCTTCAACGGGATGAAAAGAGTTAGGGAAATCGATACGGAGTGATTAGAAGCCCCCGGGGTGACGAAGGGGGCCGGGGCTTTCGGGGATTTGGCGAGGCTGAGAGGAGGGAGCAAACCTCGAGGGGGGAGGCCAGACCACCGCCAGGAGCTCCCGAGCGCAGGCCTCCGTCCCTCCCTCCTCGACGGGAGGAGACGCGAGGGCGCAGCAAGCGGCAGGGAGCCTGCCGCGGTCCGGCTTTGCGGGGCCGGCGCTGGGTGAAGCGGCGCGGGACGCCGCGGGACCGAGGGCTTGGGAGCTACGGGTTCCACGCCGCTAGTGCCAGTGGTCAGGTGGCCACGGGAGTGGATCCCAGGCCCGGCGCGGGGACGCCGGCAGGTTCCCCCAGAGCGCCATCTCTCCAGGCAGCCTGCTGGGGTAAAGGTGTGGCCCAAGTTGGTTGCATTTCTTTCTCCCCCCTGAGCCGCGACCTGCTGCGTCCTCGAACTTTCTCCTTGATAAACCTCGGCCCCTCAGCTCCTTTAACGTTTCCAAAGAGGACGCAGCGGCCCAGCCCCGCTAGTTGCTTCTCCCTCTCTCCCACCCACCCACCCGGTGTCCATGGCCGCCGCCGGGTGGCGGAACCCGCTGCGGACCGCAGGGCGAGTGGATTCCAGGTTCAGGGCTCTTGGGCAGGTGGGAGGAAGCGTGAGGCCGACGAAGAAGGCAGAACCAGGGTGACCTACACCAGCGCAGCCCCTAGGACGTCTCCGTTCTCTCCAGGGCGGGAAGTCAGCTTCGAGGGTATCAAACCACACTCCAGCGATGGAAATCGGTCTGGGGCCCCAAGGCTGGGCACAGGAGCCTAAAGTGGCGGAGGTGTAAAGGCTTCTAGGGCTTGCTGAAGTTAGCAAGGCTTTGGGGGGAGTTTACTGGGAGGGAGAGGAAAACCTTCTCCCCAAACTCAAGCAGGAAAGCCCTGGCGCAAAAATGGCTTTTCACTTGTGGAAGCGGGAGTCGCGCTCGCTACTGTGAACAAACCTTGAGGTTCAAAACAGCTGCAAATAATCAAGAAGGCACTAATTTCGGGAGGAAAGGAGGGGAGGAAGGTGAGGAAAGGGAAGAATCTTTTTCGTTTCTCCTCCCTTTTTCCGCTCCTGACCTTTTCCTAAAAATCAGCTCTTCCTGAAGAAACTGATAGATTGATTATTTATTTATTTATTTATTTATTTATTTATTTATTTATTTAATTTCCCCTCTTCCCCAGTTGCTCGATTTTCTTGACAGTTTGAGGAATTCAGTTCAGGCTGCCCTGCTTGACGACTCGGTGCAACAGGAAATATAACTGCAGATCCAATTAACCGTTTTCCAGAAGGGAGAAAATTTTTTTAAAAAATTTGAATCCCAGTGGATTGGAGCGATATGTTCAGGTGTGAGGCGATTGGTGCCTCGAATTCCTTCCTCAGTAATCCTCTAATTCCTGCGATGGAAGCTGGAGAGAGCATCGCTGACCTGGAGGCTGTCAGGAGCCGGGTCTCCATTAACCCTTCCTGGTCTTGGCCAGAGCGAAGGTTAACTACACTAATATACCAAAGGGTCTGTGGATAAAAGGGAGGGAGGAAGGAAGGAAAGAGGGAAG